TGCCCCATCTTTCTGCAGGGGCCTTGTGCATTTGTATAACATAATACCACATAGTAAATTTGATATTCTCTTGGATATATGCAGATATCTGGAATTATAGCTGCAATTTGAGAATACATGGGCAACAAAAAACAGAACCTATAGAGTAAACAGTGTAGCAAATCTAATGGGGAAAAAAAGTTGTTTGATTTCCATGCCTTATACCAATCAATGAATGTAACTTCTGTTTGCATCAGGATACACTCTTATAACCAGAAAGCCATACAATTTCTGTATGGGCAAACAAAAAATACAAAGGTGATGCTGAGACTGGACAGTACCTTAAACCCTTTAAACCCATATATCATTGTATGGCACGTGTTTTGTTTTATGAATTGGAATAAGCTAAGTCTAAATCTATTCTCAGAAAATCAGTAAAGGCTTGTATTTGCTTGATTGTTGAGTATCTTACTCTCTATTTTATTCATATAATTTTCTTGCTTTTTAACATTGTTGCTGGGGAAAAGATACCATATTCATGTGGTCTGGATTATGCTTGGGCCAGTTTCACTTTATTATCTTTATTTAATCAAGTGTATAATCTGTCTCAGTTGCAGTCACAACACTAGGTTGACCCACCATCAATTTCTCTTCCAGGTAAGCTGTTTGGGCCTGGAGCCTTGTGTGGACAATGATCCCTGCAAATTTGCACTGATCTCTCGTGGCGCAGAACGGGGCACCATCCGTTATGTACTGCAGGCAGCAACACCAGAAATTGCCCAGGCCTGGGTGACTGACATCAATCTCATCTTGGAGACACAACGTGACTTCCTTAATGGTAGGAGTAAAAACATAGCTACCTACGGTACCAACTATGGCCATTCAAATCATCCTATCAGAAATTGCCTTTTAAACTTTGCCTAACCTTCCTCCAGGGCTTCAGTATTTCTCACAACACATTCTCAGCTCATCGTGTGGACTGGATAGGACGATTACTATGAAATTTCCATACTGCGTTTTAGAAGTATGAGAAACAATAATTCATAGTTAAGAAGAAATTTTTCAAATTGTAATTTGAATTAGAGGTTTGAAAATAATAAGTTTTGGCTTTTACAGAATTTGATGTAGTTTGGATTAAAGGCCCGGAGACTAAAACATGAAGAATGGTTGCAGGATTTTGGTTTGTTTAATCTAGAGAAAAGAAGGATTGGGAGGGACATGACAGCAATATTCCAGTGTTTGAGAAACTGCCACAAAGAAGAGGAGGTCAACTTATTTTCCAAAGCACCAGAGGGCAGGACAAGATACAATGGATGGAAACTAATCAAGGAGAGAAGCAACCTGGAATTAAGGAGAAACTTCTTAGCAGTAAGGACAATTAACCAGTGGAATGGTTTGCCTTCAGAAGTTGTGGTTGCTTCATCACTGGAGGTTTTTAAGAAGAGACTGGACAGTCACTTGTCGGAAATGGTATAACGTCTTCTGCTTGAGCAGGGGGTTGGACTAGAAGACCTCCAAGGTCCCTTCCAGTTCTATTCGGATTGATTAGTCTTGTATTTTACCTAGTCTCATATTTTTGATCCAGGTACTTCTTTCATCAGTAAAGGAACTATTTAATTCTCCTCTTGTTAATTACCATATTTTGCTTTTTGTTCCTCTCTCCCTCTCTCCCTCTTTCTCTCTCTCTCTCTCTCTCTCTCTCTCTCACACACACACACACACACACACATATCAGTATCTTATCTCAATTTTGCAGCTTTTCTTTTACTTTGCCAAAATTGGGCTTATTTCTCAGGGAGTCCTTCTAATAGGTAAGGAACCAGGGCAACAGTTCCATCCCAGCTTGTTGCCTGCATGCTGATTTTTTACTCCTAGGAAGGTTTGTGTTATTCAAAGATGTGATTCCCACTTGTCAATTCGTCTATAATTTCCATTCTAATAAGATCAGGTCTTAATGAAAGTGAACAAAGAAGCAACAAACATGTCTCAGAAGGGGGTGCTTTGATTTGTGCAGATCAAACACAACACAAAACACATTTGAAGGAAGGGAGCTCCAGAATCCCAAGTGGAGGCTGTTCTATTCATTACACAGAACCTGAAGGCAAAACCTGCAAGTTTGCTTATGTTGCTTTTTCAATACTTCCAAATTTTTTCACTTGAAATATTTACTTTAATTTTAAAATTTAGAAGTTACCTGAGTCCACAAGACACTAGGCATCTAATAACTTTTAACAGCAAGAACAATGATAAAGAAGCAAAAATCATAGACATACAAACAAACAATTCATAACCAATGACAAATCCTACAAAGGCTTGATACTATGCCACTTTCAAGGCCTATGGAAATAGCCTGCTCTTCTTCCCAAAAACAATGTATATTTTTATAAATTGTTTATAAATCTTTCTGGTCATGTGATATAAACATTTCAGTTGTTTATAAAAAATTGGCCGCCTGAATAAATGAGAGGCAGAATATAACAGCACATCCCTAAATATCACACTGCCATGAAAATAGTTGATGAGATCATTTAAGTATAATAAATCCCCTATTATTTTGGATTAGTGACAGCAAGTGTTTAAGCTACATTTTTTATTTCCAAATTAAATTTGCCACTTCTAATCAAATAAACTTGGTCCCAGCGTATGAAATGACAGCGGTATAATATAGATTCCCAAAGGAGTTTTTTTTATTTATTCAACTTATATACTGCCAAATCAATTTATCTGACTAAAAAGCTTTAAGAAAAAGTGAGGTGGGAATCAAGAAAATCTGAGAAAAAAATGGTTTTAAAGGATAGCACAGAAAATTAGAAACAGCAGAGGAAATGGGTGCATAGAGAAAAGAAGAAAATTGATAGCAATAGCACTTAGACTTTTATACCACTTCACAGTGCTTTACAGCCCTCTCTAAGCACTTTACAGGGTCAGCCTATTGCCCCCAACAATCTGGGCCCTCATTTTACCGACCTCGGAAGAATAGAAGGCTAAGTCAACCTTGAGAATCGAACTTTGGCTGTGGACAGAGTTAGCCTTCAATACTACATTCTAACTACTGCACCACCATGGCTTTTTGCTTTAACAAAAATTAATTCCAGATCCTGGGCAATAAACAAAGCTAGCTTAATTTTTTTTAAAATGCGAGGACAAATGGATCTTACGTTATAAAACCACTATGAGAGATATGAGACTATTACTGACCAAAAAAAAAAGAGTAGTTAAAGAAATGAAATATTTATAAATATTTTCAGGGAACAGAACAGGTTGAGGAAAGAAAAGAGAATACAAGAAAAAAAATTCAAATGCCTTTGAGATATAGAGGCTCACCATTATGAAAAAGAAATATTGCAGGTTAAACTTCAACTGAAAGATAACATTAGGTTGTATCATGTATCCATACATCTTTCTCTTGGTTTTTAATGGAACTTAAGAAACAAAAACTTCATGATATTCATACTATGTTTGAATTGAGGAGAGCTGGCAGAGATTCAGAATGATTTTTCTGAAGAATAAGCTGCTTTGAATGTCTTTAAACCAACTATATACAAGACGTTTACATTTTTTCAACAACTACTTTGAATACACAATAGTTGCAGAAGTGTTACATAGAGGACAGGTTATAACTGTGGTTAGAAAAAAGGATCATCTGAAAACTATTATCTTAGATAACCCTTACTGGCCAAAAAAGGGGAAAAAATAGTAAAAATTTAAGAAGTATGCCAATATGGGCTTTTAATTATGACAAATAAGAGAATCCCAATTTGAGGAAATGATAAACCATAGCTGCCTCCTTGTCTGTGTTATGTACCAAATCAGTGATACTCTGTTTCCCCGAAAATAAAACCCTGTCTTATATTTGTTTGAACTCCGAAATAAGTGCTTGGCCCTATTTTCAGGAGTTCTTATTATTTTGGGGCGCATGGAGCAAGATGGGGCTCCTCTTGCCATCTTACCTGATTTCCAGCTCTGCATTTAAATATTTTCGGGGAGGGCTTATTTTCAGGAGAAGGCTTATTTTAGCACATGCCCGATTCGGCTTATTATCAGGGGATGTCTTTTTTTCGGGGAAACAGGGTAGAAAAAAATATCTGTATTGACAGACAAATTAGGAAGCTAAACCCCTTACGTATCATCAGTAATAAGTCTCTCAGTGAATGGAGATGAAAAGGAGGGTTGCTTGAAAGAACTATAATACTGTACAGCATCAATTTGTACCATTTATTATAGGAAGGGATATCATGGGTCCCAATACAAATCCTTACCAGGAGACAATAGGGTTAGGTTGAATAACTATGTGTCCTTGACCATTGTATCCCTGATTCAGAACATGGGCGGAAGCTGAGGAAAAAGTAGGTTGTCTAGAGGAATCAATTATTTTTTAAAAAAACAAAAACTGAGGAAAAACTGAGTAGCTGTCAACTGGATACTTGGGGAAAAAGAAATACTTGTGGTTTTGGTTGCTGCAGAACATGCAGACCTAATTCAATAGCAGAGATATTAATAAAAGCTTTAGTTGAAGAAAAACATTATGCTCAACAATTTCTGCTGTTAAGAAAATAGAACGCCATGCTGAAAAAGCAAACCAGCCAGCTATAGTTGTAATTGAAAAAAAATCAAAGCCATTTCTACAGAAAGGGGTAAAATGGTGTGAAAAAGGAAGAATTTGGACAATCCATGAGTTGAGAAAAAAAAAAGCATTGCGTTTACTCCAAAGGAAATTGTTTCTCTGGGTGATGTCAACCAACGATATGAAATAAAAACTGAAATTGCTGCTAAGGTAGAAAAGAAAAGAAAGGATGACAGGATTCGAAAGAGACATAGGAGAACGCAATGGTGCTAACTTGGCTTTGAGAATAACTCTGGTTTGTAGATTGTCTGTTGTAGATCGTTCAACAAGGCATTGAAAGTGGTAGAACTCAGCAGCCCTATTTGGGCAAACTGCTGACTGAGTTAGAGACACCTTACATCTTGTTATCAGCGTTCCAGAACAACCCAACTCCAATCAAAAACTCTTGAGACAGGCATTATCTCAAAACTTCCATTTATTAGAGTAGGTACACTGGCACATCTGGGAAAACCCAAATCTGAGAGTTCTGGGTTTTCCCTCAGTAAATCAAAACCACAAATCCAGCCCCTCTGCACCCATCAGTCCATCACATGGCCCAATCACCATCCGTCCCAACTTGAGCCACCACTGCAACCACTCCTCCTCCAGATACAGGAGCACCATGACCTTGACCGAAGAGAAGAATGCTATTATGTTTAACTACAATCTCTCCACTAAATCCCCCCTCCTACTTTCCCAAGCGCAAGAAGGTGGCAGCGTGGAAGCTTCCTGTGTTAATATGGCTTCCAAAGCTGACACTTGTCAGAGAAGAGGGGAAACTGGAGAAGAAGAAAGGGGATGAGGAAACCAACATGAATCTGGATAGATTTTTTAGAATTCTGTTATTTTGGGTTGGGGGCAATGACATTTTAAACTATACCGTATTTATCCCCAAAATTCACTCATAAACCCAATCTCACCTAATGTGCCAGCAACAAGAAATCTATTTTTAAAGCCTTTTAGAAATCTTTCTTAAAGATTTTATTTCATTTTATTTATCAAATTTCTACATCACCCATCTCACCTAAGTGACACTGAGCAGTTTGCAAAGTGATCGTTCAAAAGTGATGTTAAGATCAGGGTCTCCATCCTCTCCGGTAGCTACCTCAGTATATTAGTCATAGGAGGAATCAGTAGATGATGTTAGGCCACAGGTAAGCGTAATCTGTGATGGCTAATTCAGACAGGCAAATCATTATTTATTTATTTATTTATTTATTTATTTATTTATTTATTTATTTATTTATTAAATTTATATGCCGCCCCTCTCAGGAGACCCAGAGCGGCTCACAATACATTAAAAAAAAAAACCATTCTAAAAACATTTAAAAGATTAAAAAACATTAAAAACCTTAGAACCTTAGAATCACGTAGTCCTTTTACTCAGTGAAGTTACCTCATGGTTCAGAAAGGATTTCTTGTTATTCTTGGTGAATACCATACAACTTTTTTTTTGGCATATACTGTACATTATTTTATGTTACCAGGTTGACCCCATTGTTCAAAGTCTGTTCCTATTGTTTTTTTCCCCCCTCCCAGCACTGCAGTCACCCATAGAGTACCAGCGTCGGGAGAGCAAAACCCACAGTCTAGGACGAACGGGGGCTCTGCACCACTCACTGACAGGTGGCTCTACCCGGCCCTCCTCCTCAACCTCCATGGACCAGAACAAGGGATCCAGCCTCCAGGCCCACAATGCCTCTCTGCCTTCCCTTTATCTTCCTGGTCCTGTCCCACCTGAGCCCCTCCCCTCTATCGAGGTAAGGCAAGAAGGTCATCAGTCAGGCTCGCACCTCAGATAGTATAGCAATTTGGTGTGTGTGGATGACACAGATTTTCTACTTCGGAGAAGAAAGCTTAACATCCAATGCAGTCATTTGATTTAATTAAACAGTAGCTCTGAGCCTACTTAGAATTTGAATGCCTAAAATAACCATTATATAAAAACAGCAATTCATAATTAAGATAATTCTATCCTGTCTGTTGCTTGAAATATGTTGTGAACCGGTTGCCATAAAGACAAAACAGTTTCTTGCTCCATTCCTAATCAATGCCGTTTTGTAAAATTTCCATTATTGATGTGGAAAAAAAGAGGTAGGAGAGGAGGTTATTGGCCAACTTTTAATAGAGTAGCTCAACAAATAATGAGGAACTGGGGCCATTTACTTAATATGTTGCTCTTTCCTAAGTAAACTGTCCTAGAAATAATTATACTGAAAGATACTATGTAAATATTGAAAATAAATGCTAATGTATTTGGCTACCATATATCATTTTATTTAGAACAACTCATTAGTACGGTCAAAGGACTCTGAGCCCTTGCCAAGTGTATGTACAGCATATATGTTATTCTGTCTATGGATCATAACTGCTCTATCCAAATGCTGAAGGTTGGAGAGTCACAGTCAAATGAAAAGGAAATCGGATTGAGGAAGACCAAGAGTAGGACTTCTTAACTCTGTTCCAGTTCATCTAGGAGGAGATGACTTCTTTCTTTTGTTAAGGAGAGGCTATTCAGATGAATGGAATGGGTTTCCATGATCTCCCAAGATGGGCAGTTAAGAAATAGGAAAAATTGTTGAATGAATGAATGAGTGAATGAGTGAGTGAGTGAGTTAAATCCATGCCCCAAGCAACCCAATTTTTTTGCTTTGCCCATCCTTGAGGCAGCGATACCAGAAGAACTAGAACAGGGCAGGTGGGAAGGGAATATATTGTCTGCTATTGCTACTCAACAATTATTATTTAGTATCACTCATTGAACATACAAGGGAAAAATCTTTGCACACACACACACACACACGTGTATGTGTGTGCGCGGGCAAAGATATATATAGCAAAGTTTTGATTTACCCACCAGATTGTTAGGCAAGAGGGGCTGAGAAAAGGTAATTTTAAAGGAGATTAATTAATGTAGAAAAACCAGATGCATTTATTATGAGGCCATTAAGACAATGATTATTATGTGTTTACTGATCATTGATCATTTGATCGATTGAACTGGAATTTTTTACTGAAAATAATTGAAAAGATGCAGTTTGGAGAGTATTTTACACAATCTATTAAGGCAATATATCAGCAACAAACAGCACAAGTAATAATCAATGGTAGTTTAATGGAAACTTTTAACATAGAAAAAGGAACAAGACAAGGATGTCCCTTATCTCCACTACTGTTTATTTTGACTTTGGAACTTTTGTTGAATAAAATACGTGGCTCAGATAAAATAAGGGGAATTAAAATTAGGCATGATGATTACAGATTACGAGCATTCGCAGTTGACCTGGTAGTGACTTTGACCCAACCAGTACAATCGGTTATAGGTCTAATGGATATAATTAATCAATATGGACAAGTATCTGGATTTAAAATAAATGCAGGGAAAACAAAGATAACAACTAAAAATATGGTTACAAGTCAAAAAGAAGAAATAAAAAGAATAACGGGATTGGAAACAGTAAAGAAGGTTAAATATTTAGGGGTTTATATTATGACATCAGATGTGAAATTCTATAAGTATAATTATGAATAATTGTGGCAAAAAATACAGAAAGAGATGGAAAACTGGAAAAAATTGCAACTATCGTTGTTGGGAAGGATAGCTGCAGTGAAAATGAATATCTTGCCAAAGTTTTTATTCTTTTGCCAAAGTTTTTATTCTTTTTCCAAATGATACCAATATTGAAAAAAGATGGAAATTTGAATGAATGGCAGAAGGGCATTAGTAATTTTGTGTGGGCAGGAAAGAGACTGAGAATAAAACAAAAAATAATGCAAGATATATGTGAAAGAGGAGGTCTCAAAATGCCTAATTTAAGATTGTATTATGAGGCAGCTGCCCTTTCAGCAATTAGTGATTGGATTAACTCAACAGAAGAGAGAATATTGAATATTGAGGGATATGATTTGTTATATGGGTGGCATGCATATTTACTATATGATAAAAAGGTGGACAAGAATTTTAAAAGTCATATATTAAGGAATGCATTACTGCGTGTATGGAAAAAGTATCAATATAAATTAAATAATAAATTACCTATATGGGCCATACCTAGACATACGATAGAGAATATAAGTGTAGAACAGAAACAAGATGTGATTACTTACAAAGAGCTTCTTATTATGGAAAGAGGTGCATTGCAGTTAAAGTCTTTAGAGGTATTAAAGGAAGAAAGGATAATCCAAACTTGGTATGGACAGTTATACACTAGATGGAAAGAGGATCAGAAAATTGGTATCTTGCAAAATGAGGAAAATTTGATAAAACAAATTAGGGATCAAAGTCCAATGCATATTAAAAGGTTGTATAATGCATTGATAGAAATAGATTCAGAAACTGAGCTAGTGAAGGACTGTATGATAAAATGGACACAAAATATCGAGGAACCAATAATGATGGAAACATGGGAAAAATATGGGTCAGAAATGTAAAATTTACTCAAGCCCAAAACTTGAGAGAAAATTTTTACAAAATGTTTTATAGATGGCATTTAGATCCCAAAAAGTTAGCTTGCATGTATCCAAGCTTACAATCTACGTGTTGGAGATGTAAATGTGATGATGCAACATATTATCATATATGGTGGACATGTAAAAAAATTAAGGTATTTTGGATTAAGATATGGTGGATTATACAAATATTCTTAAAAAGAAGATAAAATTTACTCCACAGTTGTTTTTATTGGGTATAATTACAGACTGTACGGAATCCACTCTTCATTTTGAGAGAGATCAAAATATGTGCTAAATTAATGATGGCTTCAGTGAAGGTATGAAGGCTATGACATGCCTTCAGTGTAGAAAACCATCATGTCCTTTTAAGGATGATTTCTTACATCCAATGCTAAATGGTGCCTTCATCCCCCAAATGCTCAGCTTCTGGTTTGCTTTTCTGGTACTATGTTTCTCTCCAAATTTTCTCTCTTCATCCCACCTTTCACTTACAGCCATCTCACAGCCAAAGCTCTCCAGGGCCTGAATCTTCTCACATACCTTCTGAGCAACCTGATATGCAGCTCTCCAGTGCCCCTCAGCAAGAAACCCAGCAATTGGTGAGTTCTTGGTGAGTTCAGAATAATCACAACAATCAGATTATTCTGGTTCTGTTAACTTTCCCTCTAAAATTAATTATTTCCTTTCCCTTTTTCTGGAGCTTACATTTCTACTTGCATGCATGCACGCACACACACAGAGTACAAACTCACTGGTCCTTGGCCTTTGGCATGTAACCAGGGTTTTGTCTTGGGAGAGGGTAATTGTAAAGAACCTTCCCCTTCCCCTTCCCCTTTTGGGATCTTGGTAAGCACAATCACTGCAGACAGCAAGGATAAACAATTGAATCAAAGCTTAAATGCAGTTGTCCCTTCAATATATTTCTCAGTTTCAGCGTGTTGTTGATCAGTACTGTTTTCTCAACTAATATAAGCAGAGGGGTTATATAAATAAGTAATCAGATAACTACCAAAACTGTTTAAGTCTAGGAAGAGTTCCCAATGTGGAAAAGATAAAGAGAGAAGTAGCAGGCAAACAGGAACAAATAAAATAATTAGGTATAGAAGAGAAAAGCGGTTGCATGTTATGTGCACTCACACATGCACATACACATACATACCCTTTGCTTACTTTGCCCAGTTTACACACAGAGATCCCCTTTGTCTTCTATTATACAACCTAAAATATTGATCTTGGGACAGTTGGTTTTTATCAATCTTGTAATGGAACACAGGTAATCCTCGACTAACCAACATTCATTCAGTGACTGTTCGGAGTTAGAACGCTACTGAAAAAAAGTGACTTGTGCTCCTTTTCACACTTACAACCATTGTCGTGTCCCCATGATCACGTGATCAAAATTCAGACGCTTGGCAACTGGCTCATATTTTTGACTGTTGCAGTGTCCTGGGGTCATGTGATCAGCTTCTGCTACTTTCTGACAAGCAAAGTCAATGGGGGATCCAGATTCACTTAACAACTATGTGACTAGCTTAACAACTGCAGGGATTCACTCAACCATGCTGGCAAAGAAAGGTAAAATGGGGCAAAAACTCACTTAACTATTGTCTCCCTTAGAAATGTTGAGCTTATTTGTAGTCATATTCTTCCATTTACGAAACAAAAGATTTCTCTAGCTGTTCTTGAGCAGTTCTTGATCATGGAAGCTCATGTCCTCACTTAGTGCTTTTATCCATCAATTATACTTTGACCTTCTTCTGATCTTTATATAGCCCATGATGTTGCACTTTCACACATTCAAATAGACTGTACATATTAAATTAGACTGACTAGCCATAAATTCAGTAAGCTCATTATGATTAACAGGAAAGGCTCTCTGTTGTCCACAAAAAGTTGCATTCTGATGAAACATGAATGCTCGCTGCTCGTATGCCACCAGAATGCAGATAAACCCAGAATCTTGCACTTCCTGCAGAACTGAAAAAGCATTCACCATTTCTGATTATCTGATTGAGGAAATGACTATTCTTATGGAATCGTTTTTCTATGAATAATGATTAACCTAGAGGGATTAAAAGATTAGATGATATGCAAAAACAATAGACAGTACCTGGGCCATTTCTTTTCTCTGCCATTCCCACCCCCCTCTCTAAACAACAATAATGTTTCAAGACAATATGTAGGAATTGCTTCTGTGTAAACCACTGAGAGACTGGTCTGCTAACCCTGTTTTTAAAATATCAAACCAACCATAATTTTCCTTGTCAAAATGACACTAGAGACTACCTCAGAAAGCAAGACGTTCAGGTATTAAGTGGTATATAAATCTAAGTGCTATTCCTGTTAATCTATCTCATCTGCTAGGAATGTTATTTCTTAGGAATATGTCTACTCATGAGCCCCAACCAGGTAACGTTCAGCTGCACGCTTCTATCAGGACAATTTGGTTCATTTGCCTGATTCCATTTCTCTTTTCTATGAAGTCAGATTATGATAAATAACATTTTTCATTACTGTAACAGGCCAAGGACTTGACTAAAGACTTTGACACTCTGTCCCCCTTTCTTTCATCTTTTTCTTCTCTACTGCCCAGGCATGGGAAGTACAAACAAATGAAATATTTGTACACAGGTGCACTTTGTACAACACACATATGAATTGGCAGGTAGAGAAGCTACTTCTATAAAACATATCCTCAACTTCTGGCCATTAAAACCACACTAGGTTCTCACGCAGTTTCATTCCTCTCATTTACCCATAATTTTCTTCAGTTGGGGTGTCTGTGTATAAATATGGGAGGGCATTATATGTCATAGTTTTTCTACGAGTTATTGTGTATATAAAAATTTCCTAGTCACAACTGTTTCATTTCATACACAGTCATCCCTTCTGGTCAAAAGAACCAGAATCTGGTAACACCTATTTTGACTAACAAATGTAATAAAAAAGTGTAAGCTTTTGTGAGCTGTAGCTCATTTCATCAGATCCATAGAATGACCAGACTGATGTAGGATTAAATTGCAGTGAGTTGGGGGGAAGAGATGAGGGAGAAAAGGGAGTAGAAGATGGGTTGGTTATGCAGATGCAGGTAACATAAGAAGCAGCTTGCAAGTAGTTTATCGCTTAGGCTTCTGATACCCATCATTTCTCTCTATTATATATATGTAAAGTGAAATGGATACAGATGTGAGTTTCAGCAAGTTCTGACCAGTTGTGGAGAACTGGTAGCAGAAATTTTGAGTAGTTCGGAGAACCGGTAGTAAAAATTCTGACTGGCCCCGCCCCCATCTGTTCTCTCCCTCCCAAGTTCCAGCTGATCGGGAGGCAATGGGGATTTTGCAGTAACTTCCCCTGGAATGGGGTGGGAATGGAAATTTTACAGTATCCTTCCCCTGCCATGCCCACCAAGCCACTCCCACCAAGCCATGCCATGCCCACCAAGCCACACCCACAGAACCGGTAGTAAAAAAATTTGAAACCCACCACTGAATGGATACCCTACATATTATTATTTAAATATATTTTGCACATTTTTTTTGTCAGGGAAGTGATACCCAGTTGTTTCTTGATTTCACTTTTACAATTCCTTTTTGTTGAGGAACTGGAGGTTGCATACATTGCTGCTGTTTAGTTATTATTATCCATACAACAATCCTATGAGTGGTGTTAAAGTAAAGTACTTTTACTAAGGAACTACATGGCTAAGAGTGGAGTGCTCTTCTCTCAGTTTGATATTCTTGACCACTAAATCATCTTTCAAGTTTGCAGAGGATTTATTAGGTGTTCAAGAGATTCAAGAGACTTAGGTTGCATTTGCAGTGATGCCTACAATCAGTGTAAATATTGAAGACGCTGCTGCAGATACATTTCTTGCTCTGGGAAAGTGGCTGATAGAAAAGAGTAGGTCATTGCAAGTAGGATCACTATTGTCCATGTTATAATTAGCTGAAGGAAGGTAAATCATGAAAGTGAAATATGCTTAGATAACATGTTTGCCTATAGCTGTAAAAATAATTTAATTCTCATTTTAAAATAATAGTATCAAATCCCATTTTGTGAGAATGGAAACAAATGGCGATATTTCATGTTCTAGAAATATGTTTTTGGAGAGACAAAATATTGGATGGTCCTGAACCTGGGCCAGATATAATTTGCCAGATATAATTTATAATATACTGCTTCATAGTGCTTTTCAGCCCTCTCTGGACCGATTACAATAGCAAACTATTAACCCCAACAATCTGGGTCCTAATTTTACCAACAGGTTGGAAGAAGGGTTGGAAGGTTGAGTCAGCCTTGAGCCAGTCAGGATCGAACTGCTGGCAGTGGGCAGTCAGCTTGCAATACTATATTCTAATCACTGCACCACCACGGTTCTTGATATAAAAATATAGTTCACATGCTCTAATGTAATGAAATCGTACATTGGATTGCTTTGCTTTACAAATTATATTTTTTCTAAACATATTGAACTACTACAAATGAGCCTGGCAGATAGCAGTTATATCAGTCTTGGATATATTTCTGTAGTTGACCATCTCTTTGTCCCCCCCCATTAGGTCCTGATTGAAGATGATGCCAGGCCGCTGCTCCCAGATCCTGAGGTCCCAGAAATTAATGTCCCTCAAGGCAGTGCCCAACTTGCCAAACTTGACGAGGATGAGCTGTGACTCTTGGACTGCAGGATGGTGGCCTCTGTCAGGCACTTCAGCTGAGGATATCTAACGCGTCTCCCACATCCCTCCTCCCTCTCTCTGGCTGCTCTGGAGGAAAGAGAAACGTGGCAACAGCAGGATGGAAGATTTTGCTGTCCTCTGATCCTGCTCAAAATGCCCAGACTTCACCCCCTTCCTTGTATGGGTGCAGGACCCCATATTGGGACCAGAGCATACTGCTGAAGGCCCTTCCCTAGACCCCAGTATATGCATGCTGTGGGGCTCTAGGGGCTTTACGTGGGGGGCTCTTGGATGAGGGGGTTTAGATTATGTGAAATGAGAATATTTTGTTCGTTGTAATAAAGATTTTAAGTAAAACTAACAAGGAAGTAAATTGCATCACACAAAATCTGCACAGGCATCGCGAAAAGTTGATTTCCATAACATTTCTGAGGAGCTTGTGAGGTACATGTCAAATTCTCTGTTTTCTCCAATTCTTCATAACTGAACACTAAAGTGTTAGGCAGGAAACTTCAAGGCAGTCTTGAATTCTCATTGTACTAAGAGAATATTTTCTTCCCTTCCCACTTTTAAATTATAGTTTAAACTATTCACACATCTATTTAGCTCAATACAAAGTCCCTAGTCATTTAGATTACAGAATCCATCATCCTGGTCATTAGAGAAAACTATGACTGCATAGGAAATAGGAAGGTGTAAATATACTGTAGCTATTACATTCTAAAAAATTTGAGATCTTGGTTTGATTCTCAAGTTTACCAGCTATTAATCCATTTTTGCTGTCACTGGCACATCATTGCATCCCAGCTCAAGGGCTATCTACTCTATTAGTGTGCGAGATTTGTCAATTAACATCAGTATGGAGGGATCAAGGAAAACTTCCTATCTATAAATCCTAAATTAATAGGATTTAACTTAATTCTTGAGAGCAAAGGGTGAGGAAAGGGGATTTCTCCTGTCAATCCCCTTTTAACAAGAGTCTCAGAGATATAAATGAAAGAAGCTTGGTTCTTTTACACTTCAAAGGCCACACAGCCTATTTTGACAGAGCCAGCTCTGCTTACAAGTTGATCCTGATAATGGTCAGAAGCATTCTTTATTAAACAAAGAAAAAGGTTATTTTCAATTAAGCAGTTTTTGCATTTGTTTCCTCTACAATTTGCAAGTGAAAGGAGTATCGGCCATCCCATTCATCAGGTATTAAGTTCAAAAAGTGCCTCCTGTTAAAAGCACACACACATTTCTATCTAGCAAGATGAAAACTAGAAATTTTTATTTCTCTAGGTCCTTCCAAAATTACCTAAAAGAGTATGAAAAACAACTGGAAGCACTCATAGAAATATATATATATAGGTCCACCAACATTTAAAGACAATACTGACATTAATACAATTTTTTTATAAAAAAAAAAAAAGCAGAAAAGCAAAATACTAGGCAAACTATAAGAGAATTGTACCCCCGAATACTTGTTATCTGAGCAATGCCCAGATGATACCTTCCATTGTTGTCCAAGAAAGAAATGATGTGGGTCTACCAGCCTTGCTTCAGGAGAAGGTTTCACCTCTGAGGCAATGCCCTTTTGCTGGCATACACCTTGGGTGGTACTGAAAACAGGTCATCATTTATGGGCTTCAATCCAATCCCTGGAGGTGGGAACTTGACACTTGCTTAGCCCAACATGCCACATCTGAGTTAGTTGTTACTGCTGTATCCTTATTTGGGGGTCAGGGGAATGCTACAGGCAAAAGAATACCAATGTATATTCATAATTTACCCACAAGGTATCTCAAAGACTAGAGCAACTCATAAATGTATGCAGTTGTGCATCCATCTTGGTTAAAACACCAGCTGACTCTTTTCTCAAAGATTCCACTGTGGGGCTAATTGTGTTAAAGACCCCATTGTGATGTAGCAGGGACAGCCCCATGGACACAAAGGTGATGGCTGGTTTCCGTGGCAATTAAGAGGAGGAACAGAGCCCTCTGGAGTGTTCGGTCACAAAGGAACTGACAGCAGTTGTGTGTGTGTGTGCAAGATTATCTCAAGTAGAACTGGAGGCCGCGTGAAAGGATCTTTCTTTCCATTGGAGAACAAAATTGCATCTTCTCAGCCTCATTCCCTAGTATAGGGGTCTCCAACCTTGGCAAATTTAAGCCTGGCGGACTTCAACTCCCAGAATTCTCCATCCTGGCTTAAAGCTGCCAAGATTGGAGACCCCTGCCCTAGTAGACTCTTCTTCTCACGAAAAGAAGAGGCGAGTGTCTCAAGACATTTGTGGAAGGAAGAATCAGCTACCAGTTCACTTTGCTTCCATATGGTTCTGAGCTGGGTGTGCATTTTTTAAGCTGGAATTCAGGTGTGCACCAATAAAGAATATTTAACTTGGGGTTGAAATGAGCGGTCCTTGGTGCTCTCTGAGCTTGGTTGTGCACTGATGATGTTACCTAGTTTGAGTAATGAAACATTGCAAGAAAACAAACTCCGACAGCACCAAGGACCCCTCATTAAAGTGTGTGTAGTCCAAGGTTACATATAGATTAGCATTTTTTTTCTTCCTCTTTTTAAGCACAATTTTGCTGTAGAGGTTTCCATGAAGACAAGGTACCAAGCCGCATCAGCTTTCCCACCAAAGATGGACATTTTTGAGTGGTAGTGGATGCATGTATAGAGCCTCGGTGGAGCAGTGGACTAAGTGCTGTTAAGTGCTCGCACTTAGCTGCCAGCTGCCTGCAATTAGTGCGAGTTCAAATCTCACCAGGCTCAAGGTTGATTCAGCCTTCCATCCTTTCGAGGTAGATAAATTGAGGACCCGGATTGTGAGGGCAATAAGCCAACTTTGTATAGAACACCACCACTTGGGGGGGGGGGGCGAAAGCCCTAATAAACAGGTATATTCAAAAAAGTATGCAGGCTATTGCTATAATGCATTGTAAGCCGCCCTGAGTCTACGGAGAAGGGTGGCATATAAATTGGACAAATAAATAAATAAATAAACCCCAACACAAAAGAGCTATAAATTCCACAGTATGAAATATGACAAAAGGGGATACACCATGAAGGTGTTTCATCTTTAGTCCTGTATTTTTATTGAAAGATAGATTTACCCTTTCATCACTTAATATCACAGAAGCAGCAAATGAGTTGGTGAAAATGTTCCTGGGCATTTTTGTTACTAATTGCAGACACTGGAATCAAAGGTTTTGAGTGCTTCTACCTGAGGGCAGGGGAGGAGGGGTAGGAGACATTGCAGAAATGAAACTAGCATATCAACGAGAAGGCCATGTCTGAATTTTCAGTCATTATCATGAGGATGTGTATATTCATGTTCACAACCATATGAGCTCACTTACAGCTTCACACTTGCTTTTGGAGTCCTTTTCATTGCATACTGGTTTGCTTGCTTAAATCAGCAAAATGGGAAAGGCTGGGTTAATATCAATTTATCAGGTGATATTAACCTTATCTGTACATTCTTATTTTTTATGAAATGACCCAAGAAAAAAGCTAAACAGTCTGTATATCCAGGGAGGGCTGCACCCTCTAATTTGTTAATGCTCTTACAACTTTTAGTGCAAAACATGTTTAAAAGAATTCAAACTATGTTGTTTGATGAACTGCAAAAATAATTCAAAACCTGTGATGCCAACATCAAAGATATAGGACACAACAGTATTTCTCAACATGGGCATCTTTTAAGACCAGTGGACTTACAAGTCCCAGAATTCTCTAAATGTGAGGAATTCTGGGAATTGATGTCTGCACAATTGTCAACATTGAGAAGCAGTAGGATAGAGAATAGGGAAAAAACTGGTTTAGATGCTAAGTTTTCTTTCAGTGCTATGGAGATCAGGGGCCAAGGTAGTGGTAATAACAACATATTATTTGTGACTTGCAATTGCTCAAGTACTGTATACTTATGCTTCCCCATACCAGTTTTGACTGTGGATATACTCTTATGGAGTCTTTGGACTTGCCCGTATTCTCATATCTTTCTGTAAATGAATGGAAACTACCTCTTAGCAGACTTTATCTAGGTTCAGAAGTGGGATTGTCTTCTGTGAATATTTGGATGGGAGATCACTTGGAACCTCATGACTATAAATGAAACGGCAAAGTCAAAAAAACACCCCAGAAAGCAGTTAGGTGACCTGCTTGCAAATTACTGTATTGATGTGTTTATCAAGTCCCCAGAAATCACACTTGACTCAAAGGGGGCTTTATTTTATCTGAGAATTTATTTAAAAGTGTACTAGACAACCCATGCTGCATTGGCTCATTGTTTCAGAGATACTTCCTTATCTAACGGAGAAACCAAATGATTATTGGCAGGCAAAAAAAAACAAAAACAAACCAGTGGGAGCAAGAGCAATTTCCGACTTCCTGACAGCTTCCCCACTGACTCTTCTTGTAGAAAGTTGGAAGGAGCATTGGAAATGATTTTTACACGACCATGGCTGGCTGCAGCTAACTTTGGCAGTGCAGCAAAATTGAAGTAGCTACAACTTCACCACATTTCAATCAGAAGGAGTCACGGATCCCAGATTTTGGCTGCATTCTCTCATTTGAGATACATTGATTGAAAAACAGTTGCCCTGTGATGCACTGTTTCATCCAGTTGAAGGTTACAAACAATCAGATACAAGAGTTTTAATAGTACCGGTATATAGATTCGTCTAAGTGGGTCAACTCTGTTTTGTACTTGCTTCCAATTCTCAAGGTAACCCAAGGCATTAATTTCCTATTAACTTCCATTCAATGCATGCATTTGATTGTTTCTGTGGACACTTCCCTGATCACCATTAGGCTCCTTATCCAACATGTCAGTAATATTTTGAAGATGTTTTAAAATAAAATTTAAAAAGCTAGTTGGAAATGGACATGCCGCAAAGCAAAGCACTAGTCTTTTTATTTCCCAAGACTGCCTTCAGGTCTAATAACCACATTTAGAAAATAAAAATACTTTGCATTGCAACCCAGTTTTCTGTAAGAAATGTACTCTTGAGCCTAGATAAAAGAACATCATCACTCTTCCCAAAAGCAATCTAGAGCTGTAAGGAACATAGGGTGAGGGAGGGGAGGATTGAAGGAGTGGTGGGGAGCAACTCACCAATTTGCCTTCCAGAAACAGTAGTTTTGTGACCTGGGAGCCATTTAGTCCCCTACAGGCCAGGATATACTATCTGGCTTCTTAACACAAAAGAATTATCTTCCTGCTCCTGTTTTTATACCAATAGAATTGAGGGGGCCCAGGCATCACTATTGACTAATGGACCTAGTAATCATTCATTCTTGCTAGGCAACATTGGCAGGATTTTCTGACTGAGTCTTCATAGCATCCCACTGATCTATAATTGCCAGGCTCTTGGGAAAATATGATAGGGCAAAATTAGTGTTGGGTGTAAAATGAATTCAGTTGCACATTAAACAAGGGCTCCAAATCAGTGAGACGGTAGCAAAAGTATGTAAAACAACCCATTTCTTTGCTGCTTTCTGGTAGCTGTCCAGATTTTTGCAGCCCAGATACTGTAACCCTGCTGTAGCCTTGCTTCCATGACCTCATCTCTGCTCTTTTAGGCCTCTTTAACATCACTCTCGCTTGATGCTCACTGCGGCTGCTGTCACAACAGCCACACTCCGCACCCGCTTTCCCTGGTGGGTCTTGACATGCTTTGCTAGGTGGTCACTCCGCATAAATCTCTTGGGGCACAGCTGGCAGCCAAAACGCTTCTCCCCCGTGTGTGTCCGAAGGTGCCTTTGCAGCTCATCAGAGCGAGTGAAGCTCTTCCCACAGTACAGCCAGGTGCAAACGAAGGGGCGCTCGCCTGCATGCCAGCGGAGGTGGGCCTTCAAGTGAGAGGTTTTGCCATAGACCTTGCCGCACCCTGGCAGATGGCAGACATGTTGCTTCTTCCTCCCTGGCTCCTCATGGGATCTGCTAGCTCCCTGGCAATTGGGGCATTTGCAGCGACGACAGCGGCGAGCTGTACTCAACAGCCCTTTGGGAGGGCTTTGCAGGAAGGGCGCAAGGGGAGGTTGGGGACTGAGAACTAGTGGATGTCCCAGAGGGAAATTGCTTGGCTGCTGCAGGGTCCACCAAGGGGCCTCATCGGTGGAGGAAGGGCCGGGAGGGACAGCTGGACCCAAAGGCCATGGGCCTTGAAGAAAACTGGAGGAGTCCTGGGCTTCTGGGAAAGTATACGAGGGGTGCACTGTGGGTGCCAACATCTTGACAGGTGACCACTCCAAGGAGTAGATGGCCTCAGCTGGTGGTGTCAGCGGCAACTCATGGGCTGAGGCACCACAACTGCTGGCCACCATCTGCTCATGATATGGCATCTTGGGTCGTCCAAACGCCATGGTTGTGTGACAGCGTGATGGCACCTCATTGTTCCAGAGTTGAAACATCCCCATGGATTCATAAGACCCTTGTGAGCTGGCTGAAGAACAGGGAAGTGGAGGTGCTGCTCGGAAAGCCAAGGTGGGGTAGTTGACAGCAATGTCCTCTGGAGATGAGCTGGGAGAGCGGTCCTGAAGCAGAGCAAAAAGAGTGAGCGAGAGTGTAGATGTTAATCATCCCAAATCCTTAACCAGCCCCTACTCAAACTCTGTCCAAGCAAATCATCTTCTGTATCACATTGCTAAATCTTGCACTTTGCATACATCCTCTGACTAACTTTGCCTGCCATGCTAAGGTTACCAAATGTGTGGCCATTTTATCCTCCTCCCCTGTCATGCATAGATCTTTAATTTGGCTCCATGAGTGATGTTTCATCTAAGTCTTAAATTGCCATTATCTGCAATGGGAATTGGACCAAACGTCTGTCATAGTCTGTAAGCACAGAAGCAGTTTTCTCAAAATGCCTGGACAATGCATGTTGGTCAGCAGATCACTTCATCTCACTCTTTAGAGGAAGAACAAGAGCCACTTGAGTTGGAAGACCAGGTCTGGTTTACACTAAGCCCTAATTTGGTATCTGATACTTTCTACACACAATTTCTGCTTTCTGATCCGACGGACTCAATCTTCTGGATGTTGCCAAATTCTGTTAGGCTCCTACTGAGATAAGATTCAAACCAACTGATCCCCACCCCTCAATATAATAAACTGTGTGGCTAACTATTGGGGGGGGAAAAAGATTTTTTTTTGAACAACACTAAGTTAAGTGTAGATAGATTTTATTTATTTATTTATTTATTTATTTATTTATTTATTTATTTATTTATTTATTTATTTATTTAATTTTTATGCCGCCCTTCTCCCGAAGGACTCAGGGCGGTGCACAGCCAAAAATAAAAACGAACACATATAAAAATTTAAAACATTTTAAAAGGGAATTAAATAATTTGGCGCATTTCAATTAAGACAAAGACAACCCATATAACTTAAAATTGATCTTGGTATTCAGGCCAACCCAACTTGTCATCCCATCCCATTCATCTTAGAATTTTAGCTCTACATGTTGACCACTTTTTTTTTGTTGGTTATGGGTTTTTTTAACTATTAATATATGCTACCCAGACATTTTAGAATTTTGACAAATATTGATATTTAAAGATGTTTCAATAAATACTTGCTGTTGTTATAACCTAAGCAACAGCATTATACAAATGTTCTTGGACAGGAATATTATCTATCGATTTTCAAACCTCTGTATCTTTTTTTTTTAAAAAGACAAATATAATAAGGAGGGCTGGGTGAAGCAGGGCCAATTTATGAAGCTGCTTTGGTTCCAATCACTGGAAATCCACTTCAGAGCAATACTTTTATGCCTTCAAGTTAAAAGCCTGTCAAAAGATCTGGAAGCCATTTTTCATTGCCTGAGGTTTTGCTTGGGGGAAAGATCCGAATGTAAAGCAGCTGATTTGATGTTGTGAGAAGGCTTTAAGCTGATGCTACTCCTCAGAAGTGTAGCAGGCACATTTTATCGTACTGCGAGGACCTGTCAAGGCTTCAGGCCTAGTATTGTAGGTACAGATAGTTTCTCTTTGGCATGGTTTTTGCTGTTTTTTGTTTCTTTGTCCCAATTTTATTTTAAACTCTTCCCATTATGCTGCTTTGATCTTTTAGTGTTGAAATATATTTAAGAAGAAGAAAAAAGCAGAGGAGACAGAATCCTAGAACCATTTCAATGAAGCAGGAAGTCTCTACTCATAAATCCTGACTGAATCTATACAGATAGTCCTCAACTTACGACTATAATGGAGCTTGCCCATTACAGTTGTAAATTGGAACAGTCATAAAACGGCAATGGATTTGTCTCTTGCAGCGATTGTTAAGTGAACACTGCAGTCATAAAATGAACCTATTGTTCACTGTAGTACAGTTTTAATAGAAACTAGAAGTGCTGATTTTTGGCAACTATTGTAAAATGTGGTTGGGACGCTACAAATGGCTGTAAATGTGGTTATGTTGCTGAGCACCCAAAATAAGGTCACTTCACCACAGCAAGAAGTGATTCTCAACATTTTGGATCTGTGTAATAAGTTCCCTTTCACAGGTAGGTTGCAATTTCAAATGGCCATTAAGCAACCAGATGTAAGTCAAGGACTATTTGCATTGGAAAAAGATGGAAATCCAGACGGGAATGTTTAGAATAAAAAAGAGAACACCTGTTTGTCATTTCATGAGATGATGCAAAGTATGTAGCTGCATCGCTCTGGGTTTAAAAACAAAGTCGATCCAGAATCATTTTGTATTAACTTCAAGAATATTTGGAAAAAAAGTGGTGAAACTTTAGAGTTAATCACCATCAAGTAGGAACAACAGGATGAGGGATTCTAGCTCCCACCAGTATCGGGCAGTGTGGCCTGTGATGGTGGCAGTTATACAATCTCATCAAGCATCTACTGGCCTCTAGTCCCATTCTTGTTATATTGGTCTTCCTGGAGTAGCTTTAATTGCATTATATTTGGAATTATGAAGAGAGTAGAACATTTTAAAGTGATTGGAACTTTCGAGCAATTGCAAAGATAACTGTGTGTGCGCAGGACTGGTTACTACATTTTTCATTTTGCCATCCCCCAAAATCAAGATGCTACTTTACTATGAACTTCATTGGTCACTTGATTTCATGTCATAACAATTTTCTCTGTATTTATTGAAAAATATTTTTAAAAGTCATTCATCTTGCCCACAAAACCATTGTTTTGTTTAAATGCTTCCCTTAATTGCCAGCTCAAACCCCATGCAAAACCCTGTAGTGGCCAGAAAGAAAAGCTTGCTAATTCTCTTTAATAAAACCAAAGTCACTGGATTATTTCCTACTGAAAACGTCTAGTAAAGGCATAGATTGCGAGAGAGAACCCAAAAAAGAGAACAAGATTCAGTGATAGGAATTTAAAAGTTGAATATGCTTCAATTATGTACCACCTTTTAATGGAGGAGTATGTGTATGAAAAGTGGGAAATAGTTCCCAAATTCTTTTTCAAACCTGTATTAAAACATCATTGCTATACATTCCTCCTAGCAAGGTCATTTTGAATTCAGTGGAACCTGTTCCACAGGCCACTCTTGAAAAGTTGCAAACAGGCAGGAAATGCTCCAACTAATAAAGGTTTTATCCATCTGATCAACAGGAGATTTTTGAGAATGGAACTTAAGCCGTGTCCATCACCTGAATTGCCACAGCTCTTGAAGCAATGAATATCCTATATAGCAAAAAGAGTTAGGAGACTGACCAGCACTTTTTAAAGAATATATTTTAAGCTGGTCATTTGCAGTTTCTGGGAGAATTCCCTGCTGTGAAGGATCCATGCCATTCCTTACTTAAAAAGCCCTTATTAGCTGTGATCCCAGAAAAATAGCATAGCGACATTCTTACAGCTGGACCGCTTTTCACAACAGATCAAATGAGGATGTATAAAAATCTTTCTCTCTCTCTTTATACACGTGGAAAGATGAGGAGAAAAAGTGAATATCTAAAGGCAGTCTGAGGCAGGAATTCTGTGCCTGCTACTTCTATCAGCATGGAAAATATTCTCAGGCAGTTTGGGGGGTGGGTTGGTTTTGTAAACAGAAGAGTATAAAACTGACTAGAAACTGAAGGATTAAGATGGTTCTTTGTTCAAGTTCCCTTCCTTGCAATAAATAGATTGCAGCAGATAAGAGCTTGTTTACACCTAAGAGCTGGAAGGTTGGTGAAGCAAGAGTCCAGCCAACAGAAGAACTGGAGCATTCCATAGCCCCGGCTTTGTTCTGGTTTTAAATAAATCAGTGAGAAGCCAGAAGAAATGCTGCTTTACCCACCCACCCCAAAATAAGCCAATATTATGGGTAAAGGCAAATTCAGAGTCAATCAGGGAATTGTGCAAATGGATACATGGGGAGAGTCTGCAACTAAGCATTGGTGACAGTAATGATCTACCGTACTAGGCCCGTGGTTAGGATACAGGAAATTAGAAATTTTTTTCCCTAATGAATGGCTTAAAGGGTTGTTGTGACTTTTTAAATTTGCCTCAATAGGCATTAAAATGTCACATTTCCCTATTCACAGAGTGTTGCCTTCTAGCTAGAATTAGATGCCCAGCTAATATCTCCTAAGCTCAATTACAATGGCTTATCAGTCTTAGGCAAATTATTTGCAATAATTCAGTATCTAGTTTTTCATTAGAAGATGTGTGAGAACTGAATTTGCATTTCCAAGTAAAGCTATACTACTGAGCTGTAGTTTATTTCTAAATAGTCTTCCTGGCACTGAACAAAGCACAATAGGATCTATTTTCCACCTTCTACCATGTATATAATATACTCATTTTGCAAAATAAAATTTTAAAATGCCAATACTTTCATTAAACATTTAAAATGTTTAGTGCCCATAAACAAAAAATAGCACACTATAAATGTACATTCCAGGAATCATACAACTATATAGTTGAAAAGTAATGTTTTCATTCAAAACAAACACAATTCTGCCCCCCATTTTTAATCCCTTAAAATGTCTGTACCCCAAATTAATGCCACAGATGTCAACTTTTGTTTCTTTAGAGAGACAAACGACCTTCCCCACTTTTCAAAATGTTCTTGCTATCTAAATCTCAGCTGAGCTCACCTGCTTAAAAAAAAAATCACCTGCAGTTAGGATTGGTTATCCTTTTGTTTCCTTCAGCATCTCAGCAGACTCACTAGAGTCCAAAGTTAGCATCTTTCTAGTACATTTCCTATTCTTTTGCACCCATTTGTTCCTTACAATTCAGGAGCAATTTAACCTAGCTTGAGCACAGTAGGTGAAATCCACTTCTCTCCCTCAGAGTCCTTGCTTAGCTATTCCTTAAAATGAGAGTGCAGGTTTCAGTACTGAAACCTTAGTGGGAGATAGGGAAGAAGGAAAGCAGATGTGGTTAAACGCAGGGAAAATCCAGAGGCTAACAGTCCTTTTAGTAAATCTAAAAGATAATTTGCCTTATAATCAAGAACGCTGCATATCCTCAGAATTTACATAACTGTAAAACTCCACAACCTCTTACAGAATGTCAAATTAGACGGGATGGTACACATCAAAGTGCTATAATCAGTTGGTTGTTAGTAGCTAATTATAACTTTATAGGTTTTTTTTTTTAAATGTTTCCTTTCACCTTAATAAAGAATAATGATATGTCTGCACCCTCATCCCTTCAAGGCAAGGCTGCTTACTCCAGAGTTCCTCTGGGGATTATCATATTTATGCACATCCAAGAGGAAGCCTCCTTGGGAGTTAATGGGATTTACATTTCAACAGAAACATTACAGGATTTCCAGGATAATGTTGGCGCGCGTTTTTTCCCCCCCACGTTCCTTCTCACAGCAAAACCGGCGCGCCGGTCGGGTATTTTAGCAGCCAAACGACAGGCTGAAAAATCAACAGGTGAAGTTTTCCCCCCAACTGCTGAATCTCCTCACTTACTGAATTGCACATCAATCCACCCACCTACCCCGGTTAAAGACCCCCCCCCCCGAAGGAAGCTCGCCCTCGTGGCGAACCCCAGATGGGGGCCACCCACCCACGCCACTTCTAACCCGGGGAGCTTCTTCCTACCTGCAGAAAGGAGGCGAAGTGGTTCGCGGAGTTGGGCACCGCCAAAGTTGCCATTGGGATCGGGGTCATCCAAGCTCTATCCCCGGATAGAGGACTCATAAAACTCAGCAGAGAGCCCCGAAGTGGCGACCTGCTTCGCTTCTCTCCCCCTCTCTATGCGAAAAGTCCCCCTGCCTCCCCAACCTGCATTTTTCTCCTCCTGCGCTCACTCTTCCCTTCCCCCCCTCCCCTTTCCTAACACTTTGATTTTTTGGCTCCCCGTCAGCCTATCAGGAGTGGCGATTGGAGGCGCCTTTGATGTCGCCCGAGCGAACCAATCATTAAAATAGATTGAGTGATTTCAAAGAGGGGCCTGGCTAGATCGCCTTTAAGGGCCGGGCTCCCCTGCTGGGCCGCTTGTTAGGGATGCAAAAGGCCTTGATTGGGCTTGCGTGCGATCAAGAGACCCGGGCTGCTCCTTTTATCTCTTTAAGAAAGGACTGTGCGGAGGCCGAGAGCCGGGAGCAGACAGGTCCCATGCCTCGGTGCAATCGCTCCGATTCCTCCTAAGAGTCCTTGCATAGCGCCCAGCACGTGGCCAGCCTCTCCAAGTGATTTTGTGTAGAGATTCTCAGACATCCAGGTCATGGTTGTCCCAAAAGTGTGCTTATTCTGGAGGCAACTGGACTTCTTGTTTGGCTTCTCATCCAAGAAGCTTCTTCAGCTAGGACACTGAAGCTTCTTCCCCACTACCCTGTCAGAACTGAAGAAGCTTCTTGGATGAGAAGCCAAACAAGAAGTCCAGTTGCCTCCAGAATAAGCACCTTTGGGATCTCCAAGTGATTGTCTTTTAAAAGAAGAGATCGGGAATGAATGTTCTCGATCTTCATTTATTGCAGAGTCCACAGATAAGCCATCATGAGCTTAGTGTATTAAGCTAACTATTTGATTTGTAAACCACTGACTTTAATGTGTGAGTCAGTTGTCACTTCACCCATGCTTTTTATCAGCCTCATTTTATTAGCCTCATACCTGATTTATAAATGTTTAAGTTCTGTATGATGATGATGATGATTGTTCATGGCACAGTCAGCCAGATGTTTGGACTGGATTTGGCATTTTTATCCACCCATTGAGTCCTTCCCAAGGACTTGGAATAGGCAGATGTTGTTCGATGGTGTTAAAGGTATTGTCACGGGATGTAAGCTGTTCCAAATAAAGCTGCCTTTTGCAATTGACTGGTGGTGATTTTGCCAAGGCTGGTGGGGTTCAATTGGTGCCCCAGATGGGGATTGTACCCAAGGTGCCTATTACTATTGGTACTAGCTGTGCTTTCTTTTGCCCCTGTCATTCCATATCTATTTGCAGGTCTTTGTGTTTTGTGATTTTTCTCCAGTTTTTTCTCTTCTATTTTGCTATGTCCAGGTACTGCCGCATTAATTATCCAGACCTTTTTTTGGTCTTTTTATCAAGAAGAGATAACAGTCAGATTTTTAGATTGGATTTGGTATTTTGTATTGTAGGAAGTTAGCACCCAACCCTTTCCTAGAAGAATGAAATATTTTAGGAAATATTAAAAAGGCAGAATATTATGTTTCCCTGGATGAGAAATGGAGAAGCATGTTTTAAAAGACGAAGCAGCCCCCACCTTCTTGGCCCCCCACCTTTGTTAATGGGCCAGAGGCAGAAACTCAATTCCCTCCCATCTTTGTCAATGGATCATCATCTGCAACACAATAGGACCCATCGAGCATCAGAAACTAACACAATAGGACCCATCTAGCAACAGAAACTCACCACATGGCACCTGGGAAGATTACATCAGCCAGCAAGGCTAGCTAAGACCCCCACCCCCTGGGAGTCTGACAACCAATCAGGGGGACTTACAGCATCTCTGCCCTTTTTCTGCTCAGGAACTCAAACCATGTGATCCTGTCCACCATTAAACCATCTTTCCAAGCAGTCTCCATGTTTCCAGTATCTTTTTCCCCACTTGGAGCTAAACCCAGAAGGACATTTCTTCTAACAGTATTATTAAATTTTTATTCTGCTTTTTAAAATATTTTAGTCAACTTAAGCTAGTGAACATACCTAATATTCCTGCTTCCTATTTTCCCCATAACAACAACCCTGTGAGATGAACTGGGCTGAGCAACTAGCAAAGAGAGTGACTAGCTCAGAGTCAGCTAGCTGGCTTTCATATCTAAGGGAGGTTTAAAATTTACCCTCTCCTGGCTTCTAGGCCAGCATCTGAACCACTAGACGAAACTGGCTCTGTATACACAGTTCTATCTATAAGGAAAATATTGGGATAGACAGAGACTGAATGAATGGCACCTGCCTAAGCATAGGATTGCCTTGTCCAGCCTTCAAACGTACAGATCACTGCTAGATATAGGAGAGGAGAGGATATAGGAGGGAGTTTGCTATATCACTTTGCCACACCTAGTGATCGTCTAGACTCTAGAGTTGTACAACCCATGTATGGTAGCCCTAGTTGGCAGCTACAAACCCAGTTCATTTCTCAATGTCTGTTGATTTTCACACTGTTGAGAACATAAGCATCCTATCTAACAGGGATGAATGAAAATTAATGCCACCTATGTCATAAATTGTCAATAGGTGGCAGTATTGATGCACTAGGTGCTCTGGTGTGTTCTTTAGCTTCTGTTCTTCCACTTCAGTTAGTGGGAAGTTGCTCTGAAAAAGATCATGTTGCTATTGTGCCATGGAAGCTTTTAATGAATATTAATGCACTCTAAGCAATGCCTTGTAATTGAATTTTTGACTGTCAAAGAACACTTTCCAATTGAAATTCATTGCCAAATGCAGATTGTTTATGGTGATGACTATATTTGATGTGAGGACAATAGTCCTCACTTAACAATCTTAAATGAGGCCCACAACTCTGCTAAGCAAAGTGATGGTTGCAAAGTAGGAAATCATGGTACTTTGTACTTTCTAGCTGGAAAGAGATAAGACTGCTCAATTTCACAGATTCAGCTTTAGTTTTGCCACCTAACCACTCTGTTGCCCTTTGTGTTTACTGCCTTTTATGCATCAAAAACAATGTGATCATGCCAGTAGCCCAGGGCTGGGAACCCTGGGCATGTTACACAAACAGCTTACGCTACTCTCTTGAAATTTCTATTTTTCCACCCTCTCTGCTCTAGGAGGGAGGGAGGAAAAAAATGATTTCTATAGGCACTCTCTCTTTTGCCTCACCCTTTCCTGCTGCCAGCATACTTGAACTGTTTTCAATGTATAAAAGAACAACAGTTTACTCTCTTATAATCCCTTACTCTCCAATATTTCTGATCCACAAAGGGGAAAAAGAAAAATGCAGCTCAAGCACAGGACAATGCATACTGCCTGTAATGGTGATCATGTGACTGCGGGATGCTGTGAAGTTTGAAAATTGGCAATAGAGTTGGTTTTTTTAGCACCAGTATAACTTTGAACGGTTGGTGAATAAATGAACAATAAGCAAGGACTACCTGTAGCATGCATTGCTGGGAATACATACACCCACACACACACACATATGTGTAAAGATGGTGAACTGAGAAGAGCTGATTTATATGATCAAGAAAGGCTGAATTGTTATATGATCAAGAAAGGCTGAATTGTTAAGGACAATCAGAGAATCGCTCAAAGGGAAATTTCTGTCAAGCTTGACATTCACATAACATTTGGATTACATTATAGCAGGAGTGAAATCTAGCAGGCTCTGGAAATTTTGAGCAGTTCGGAGAACTGGTAAATACCACCTTTGGCTGGCCCCAGAGTGAGGTGGGAATGGAGATTTTGCAATATCCTTCCCCAAAGAGTGGGGAGGGAATGGGGATTTTGCAGTATCCGTCCTCCAGGAGTGGGGAGGGAATGGGGGTTTTGCAGTATCCTTCCCCCAGGAGTGGGGAGGGAATGGAGATTTTGCAGTATCCTTCCCCTGCCATGCCCACCAAGCCACACCCACAGAACCGGTAGTAAAAAAAATTGGATTTCACCACTGCATTATAGACATTCTTCAGTATCAGAATGTTTGCTCAGTTCACATGCTGATGGCAGAGATGAAAGCCTCAAGATCTGAAATTTGTCAGCAATGATTTTCATGCACAAGCTAACACATTTCATCACAGCATAGTGATAGCCAAACAAAATATGGGTTTATTGTTATGACCCAGAAAAGAACTGTTAATCTATGGAATGTGTTCATGAAGTTTTACTGGAAACAAAAAGTAACATCCAGGGTTCAATTTTGGGGGGGACACTAATTATATTATTCATTTTGATTTTCCTGAAACTGGCACCAATATCAACTCAAAGTGTTACACTGCAAAAATTATGGAACAATTAAACTGAGTTTAGAAACACAAAAAGGAAATTTTGCTAGAACACTAGGCTTTACATCTCAAGATAAACCAAGAGGAGTTGCAAATTTGGATCTCACCACGTTACCCCATTTAGTCTAGATTTGCTACCATGCAACTTCTACCTTTTCCCAAAATTGAAGGAATAACTTCATGGGAATCTGTTAGATTCAGATGAAGAGCTGGGGAGGGCTGTTGGGATGTGGCTAAAAAGACAAAATGTTAATTTATTTTTAGATGAGTTTAAGAAGCTGGTCCATTGTTGGCAAAAGTTATGAAGTGAATCCTAGACTTTATGTGGAAGGAAAATATAGCTAATGAGCTCATGAGCCTGTAGTACAGTGGACTAAAGCACACTGTTATTAACATCTGCTGCTTGCAATTACTGCAAGTTCAAATCTCACCAGGCTCAAGGTTGACTCAGCCTTCCATCCTTTCAAAGGTAGGTGAAATGAGGACCCAGATTGTGGGGGCAATATGCTGACTTTGTATAAATATACAAAAGTATGAAGGCTATTGCTTAATGCATTGTAAGCCACCCTGAGTCTCCGGAGAAGGGCGGCATATAAATTAAAGCAAAAAATAAAATAAAAATAAAAATCAACAATTATTTTCCTGTTATATTTATTAAACTATTCCTATTTGAACTAAAGTTATGGAGTTGGAGGCAATATTTTGCAATTGTTCCTTGTATAGCATATAAC